AGATCACTTCCTAAATATAACACCAGCAGCACAGACACTGAGAGAAACAATCAATCAATGGGACCTCTTGAAACAGAGAAGCTTTTGTAGAGCAAAGAACATAGTCAATAAGACAAAATGACAGCCTACAGAATGGTAAAAGATCTTCACCAACCCCACATCTGACAGAGGGCTGATCTCCAGAATATATAAAGAAATTAGATGCCAAAATGCCCATTTGTTGAAGTTACTTTGTTTTTTCCTTGGTACATTCCAGTTAATAAATGGGCTATAGAGCAAAACAAAGAATTCTCAACAAAAGAATCTCAAATGGCTGAAAGACATTTAAGGAATTGTTCAACATCCTTAGTCATCAGGGAAATGCAAATCAAAATGACACTGAGATATTATCTTAAACCTGACAGAATGGCTATGATCAAAAACCCTGAAGACAGCTTATGTTGGAGAGGATTTGGAGCAAGGGGAACACTCCTCCACTGGTTGGTAGGAATGCAAACATATACAGCCACTTTGGAAATCAATATGGCTCTTTCTTAGAAAATTGGGACTCAACCTCCCTTAAGACACAGCTCTACCACTCTTGAGCATATACCCAAGGAATGTTCGACATACCACAAGGACACATGCTCAACTATGTTCAGAGCAGCATTATTTGTAATCGTCAGAACCTGGAAACAACCTAGATGTCCTTCAATGGAAGAATGGATAAATAAAATGTGGTACATATACACAATGGATTACTACTCAGCAGAGAAAAACAATGAAATCAAGAGGTTTGCAGGCAAATGGATGGAACAAGAAAAAATCATCCTGAGTGAGGCAACCCAGACTCAGAAAAACAAACACTGTATGTACTCATTCATACGTGGATACTAGATGCAAACCAAAGGATAACCAGTTGGCAACTCACAACTCCAGGGAGGCTACCTAGTAAAGAGGACCCTAAGAAAGACACAGGGATCGCCCAATGACAGAGAAATGGATCAGATCTACTTGAGCAAACTGGAGGTGAGGGGGAGTAATAGAGGGCAAGATTCATGGGAAAGAGAGCTTAGGGTTGCAGGAGATCCCAGCTGGATCAGGTACAGAGTGTGAGAACAAGGAAAGAAATACCATGATAAATGAAGACCCCATGGAAATAGGAAGAAGCAGAGTGTGAGAGAGTTACCCAGAAATCCACAAAGATACTTCCGCTATAGACTACTGGCAATGGTTGAGAGAGTGCCTAAGCTGACCTACTCTGGTGATCAGATGGCCAAACACCCTAACTATCATTATAGAACTCTCATCCAGTGACTGGTAAAATCAGATGCAAAGATTGAAGGCCAAGCTCCAGGTGGAGCTCCAGGAGTCCAGCCAGCAAGAGAGAGGAGGGATTATATGAGCAAGAGATATCAAGACTATGATTGGAAAGAGAACAGGGACAACTAGCCAACCTAGTGGAAACACATGAACTGTGAACCAATAGCTGAGGGGCTCCAATGGAACTGGACCAGGCCCTCTGGATAAGTGAGACAGTTGATGAGCTTGAACTGTTTAGGAGGCCCCCAGGCAGTGGGACTCGGACCTGTCCTTGGTGCATGAGCTGCCTTTTTGAAACCTAGGCCTATGCTGAGACACTTTGCTCAGCCTTGGTGCAAGGAAAGGGGACTGGACCTGCCTCAACTGAGTGTACCAGGCTGCGCTGACTCCCCAAGGGAGACCTGCCTTGGAGGAGGTAGGAATGGAGGACAGGTTGGTGGGGGAAGGCTGGGAGGTGGGAGAGGAACATGCTATGGACTTCTAAACCCTTGGAAAAGTCCATGACAATCCAATTATGATTAAGAGAATTGTTGATTATTGTTAACAGGACAACAATATCCTAGCCAAACTATAGAATGCCATGAAAAAAGGGGAAAGGGAAGGACTTTTAAGGGGAAAAAACACAAGAAGAACATTGGTATCTGCACAAGCTAGCCAGAAGCTCTTTTGCTCTTCCAAAACTAAGTAGTCAAAGCAACCTCAAAATGGTCCTTGACTGTCTACATAAGGAGGAAACAAAAGCCAAAAAGAAAGTAGTAATATCATAAGAAGGAGATATTTACTGTGCATTTCTGGGGGGAACACTGAGTCAGGCTTACTAGGAAATTATCTTGCATGAACTTGAGTCAGAGACAAACAACTAGGAGTCACCGAAATAAATGCCTAGAAAAATGGAGCATTTTCTATAGTCATTGCAAAGAAATGCAGTTTTTAAGGAGAGGGATGTATATAAAAATGGTGTGTGTGGGGGGGCTGGAGAGATGGCTCAGAGGTTAAGAGCACTGGCTGCTCTTCCAAAGGTCCCGAGTTCAATTCCCAGCAACCACAGGATGGCTCACAATCATCTCTAGTGTGAGCTGATGCCCTCTTCTGGCATAAAATCATAGGGCACTCATAACATAAATTAAAAAAAAGAAATGAAATAAAATAAAAATGGTGTGGGGAGAGCACAAGCAAAATGCATTATGTACGAGTAGATGATTATGAGATATTGACAAAGAACTAAGTTATTTAAAAAAAACCATACGACACAACTGCAAAGGATGTAAGTCATACAATCAAGGCCAGCATGTCATTCCCTCTCATGATGGCATTGAAAACACTATGTAGCCAAAGGAGGCCTGCAATGAGTGTTTACCCTGCCTGCATCTTCTACTTAACAGGAACTACCTGTGTTCTTATTTTGTAATTTCTTCCTCTACCATTTCTGTCCTTATTCCTAATGTGGAATATGTTTCTGTTCTCTTTCTGTAGTCAATGAGGTCATTGATGTAGAAGGTATTTGATGTATTTATTAATGCTTTGGACCAGGAAGCCATAACAACCCAAGACTGTCTAGGAGGCCATGATGAAAGGAGAAAGGGAAATTTAGTCCAGTGTCCTCATCCAAGATCAGACATGAAGCCAGTCTGATGCTGGGGCCATTGCCTCCTAGTAGATGAAGTTGCATGTCTGTGGACAGGACTTTGCCTCCTGGGCTTGGTTCTTATTCTAGTGGATCTGTCTGATGTTCCCCATGCTTTCTTTCACAAAACAGACTTGTCTCTCTGCTAACCTTGCCCCTTTACCTACTGCTAATAGAATATGAGCTAGTGTGTCTCTTAATAGATTTGTGTGGTGTGAGGTATAACTTTTGCAATAACTCTCATCTAAATATTGATTTTCATTTCTTTATTTCTTACACTATGTCTTGCCGCTCAACCCCTCAGTTTTCAGGACCCTTACTCAGGCTTGTTCAGATCAGTTCTGAACGACTCTGGTTCACACTACATTATATTAAGCTGACTTCATCACTCAATTTTGGCTTTATTGAGATATCATTGACAAAAGGTATATATTCAGGGTAGAAGTGTTTAAACTTTTTATATACATCTTCATATGCACATGTGTTAACAATGAAAAAAGAGGTCCTGAATTTGAAGGAGAGTAGAGAAGGGTCTATGTAAATGTCTGGAGGGAAGAAAGGGAAGAGAAAAATGCTTTAACTATAGTAGAATCTAAAAAATGAAAATTAAAGAAAAACACACAAAAAAATGATTCTTTCTTCATTCCTTTCTTCTTCCTCATTTTACGCATTGTCCACTGACAAAGCATTTGCCTTATTTATAAAACAAAGGAACAACCAAATCAGATCCCCAAATTTCTCAGAATTTCCTAGAGATTTGTGGTGGTATTTTGTTCCCCAAAATATTGTGCACCCTAATAAACTTATTCAGGTCAGAGAAGAGAACAGCCACAATATTAAACATAGAGGATAGGCAGTGGTAGCACACACCTTTAATCCTAGCATTCCAGAGACAGAAATCCCTCTGGATCTCTGTGAGTTCAAGGCCACATTGGAAACAGCCAGGCATGGTGACTTTATCCCAGAGTGTGAGCCTTTAATCCCAGAGAGTGGTGGCAGAAAGCAGAAAGTTATATAAGGTATGAGGACCAGAAACTAGAAGCATTTGATTGGTTAAGCTTTTATGCTTTGAGCAGCAGTTCAGCTGAGATTCATTCTGGATGATGACTCAGAGGCATCCAGTCTGAGGAAACAGGATGAGCTGAGGGATTGGCGAGGTGAGGTAACTGTGGCTTCTTCTGCTTCTCTGATCTTCCAGCATTCACCCCAATAACTGGCCTCAGGTTTGATTTTATTAATAAGACTCTTAAAGATTCGTGCTACAGAGACTGATCATGTCTGCACTATGACTGTGCACCTGAGGCAGATCTTATTTTCTGACATCCCTGAGTCCTCCCTACTCCATGAAATGCAGAGTGTGATCTCCCGAGATTGGTAGAGGCCAGACTATGATCTCAGGTTGGAATTTTCTGCCTGGAAGAAGGGAGGTTCACATGTCCGTGTCTTGGGGTCACAATGCACAGCTGGGCATAGGTCACATCATGTGGCTCCTCTGTTGTAACAGCCTGCAGTGAGAAAGTGTAGAAGAAAGTCCAGGTTTGGCACTGGGAGCATGGGGAACTAGAGAAGTCAGGACCCACCTGTTCATCTATCACTTGATTTCCTTTTGACTGTGTGTCATTGGAGGCCAATAATTCCTTTGGCATGAGAGAAGAATAGGTGATCTCTGTCCTTCTTAATCTCGAGGGCTTCACCTGGGCATACAAGTATTTAGAGGGGTCTTCCTCATGTTGGCTCTGCAGCAGAGAGAGACCATGAAACAAAGGGAATTTATGAGGTGTCTCTGAGGCTCTCAACACATGCTTCCACAGGGAGCAGGAATGATACTTCAGACATTTTTATTAAAGTAAACTATTGCTGAAGGGGTCTTCTGAAACTTTCTAGGAATATAAGGGTGTGTGCCAGTTACTTCTCTGTGCTTCTGAAATATTATCCTTAAATATGTCCTCTCCAGTGCTTCTATCTTCTGGAAAGAGAATGTCCCTACCCTGAGGACACTTGGATCTACCATGCTCCATACCTAGATGTGGAACTTCATCACAGGTGTGTATGAAACTCTACTCAGGCTTCTCCACAGAAGGCATCTTAAGAGTTCCTTTAAAATTCACACTGATCATCTCTGCCTTACATAACTCAGCCCACATCCTCTAATATATTTCCCTCATACACTTTGCACTGCTCAGTCTCAGTTTATCTCCATATCATTTCCCATCTGAGCTGGTCACAGTGGGTAGAGAGTTCTGTCCCTGGCTATATCTGCAGCCCTTACAGAAGCATGGTCAAGAGGGAGACACGGGAGCTGGGGAGAGGAGTCAAGCAGCATAGTGATTGCTATGCAAACATGAGCACCTGCGTGTGATCCGTGTGGCTGCATAAAAAAAGGGCCAAGCAGTAATTCACATGCCTGTGACCTAAGTGATGATGAGGGAGCAACTGGTGCCCAGTGCTCAGTGGCATGAATCCATCCAAATAAATAGCACCATGGACATTAAGAGAGTCTGACAGAGAAAATGAGTTAGATAAAAATAGATGAAGACATCACATTGGATGTTAACCCCTGTCTTCTGCTTGTGCTTAAACACATGTGCACACACATTCTCAGGCACATGGATCTCACTTGTATTGCCTGTTCATTTACTTTTTAGTTTTATCACTAGAGTTTGACACAAGGACTTACACATCTAAAGTACTCATTTTACCATTGAGCTACAACTTATGACCCTCATTTTCTCTTCAGAGCCACTAAAATCACTTTAGAAACCAGAGAGATGTTGAGGAGTCAGAAAGTTGGGGCCATATTTTCAAAAGTAAACAAAGAAAGAATGAGGTCATAACACACAGAATATAGAAGCAAAGAGCCAGCTGTGGATGATACTAGGGGCTGAAGAGGGGAAGAACAGAGATTGCTTTGACATTATATTGGATCATAAGTTCTTAACATTGTGGATAATCAAGAGTCTCACCAGGACATCCAGCTCCATGCTATCTGCAGGCTGTGTGACCTTCACAGTAGCATCTGTCATAACAAACATGCAAGTTTTCCCCTGACGAGATTCCCAGGACATCTCACATCCCCAGACCCCTGTGATATCCCCGATATGGAAGGAGAAGATGTCGGGGGTGAGGGTGCACAGAGAGGGTTCAGTGTCCCAGGCCCTCCTCCACCCCTGGGATGCTGAGATCTCAGACATCTCCCTCCTCCCGGGTCCTCTTCCTCTCACACAAGATTTCTTCCTGGATGGCAGGAGCTGGTGTGGATCTGTGGAAAGAAGAGGGTGTCAACTGACAGCGAGGGAAGTCAGGCAGGTGAGGTCAATGTTTCTGGGCATGAGTTACCTCTTCTGGAAGCTTTCCCCCTTGGTCGCTGAGTCTGCAGGATGTTGCAAGTCAGTCTTTGTCTGCACTGCAAGGGAGGAAGGAACCTCAGCCAGGAGGGTTGAGCCCCCTACCTAGCACTTTCAGAAAAAGAAGGGACCAACTCATTGCATGTCTGTTACAATCCTCCAGTAGATGGAAAAGTCCATACAACAGAGGACATTGCACACATTTCCAGATCTCATTTTGTGTTGAGATTCTACAGAAGTGTTTCTAAGCTCATATATCCCAGTCTGAGCTTTCCCTGGGACTGATGCCCTGGGTCCCTGCTTAGATATCCCACAGTGGTACCCACTCTGAGACCACACTGAGACCCAGGCCTCCCACACCCTACTCACCCCCCTTCCTGTCATTCTTCTGATGCCTCAGTTTGAGGAAAAAGAAGAGGATGAGGAGGAAGAGCAGGAGGAAGAAGGCCACAGAGACACCAATCACAGCCTTTTGGTATCCTTCCAGTTCTATGAGACAGGGGACATCATGAATGAAGAACTGTAAATTAGAACATATGGTGTGTGACTGAAGAGGCTATCACAGAGCCTTCATGCGTCTGGACTAGGTCCTCTGCACATATGTTACGCTTCTTAGCTTGGTGTTTTGTGGGAGACTTCTGAGAGTGGTGGTGTGGGTGCATCTGACACTTTTGCCTCCTCTTGAGACTCTATTCTTCTGACTATTCTCCCTCACCTGACTTGAGGCAAGGGTTTCTGCTGAATATTATGGTATCATGTTGTGCCATGTTCAGTTAATGCCCCTAAGTGGTCTTCTCTTCCTGGAGGAGATGGGACAGGAGTAATGATGTGGGGAAGAGTGGATGTGTTTGGGGGAACTCAAAAGAGTGAAGGGAAGGGAAGTGGAAATTGGAATGCATTGTATTAGAAAAGAATCAGTCAATCAATCAATCAATAGATAAATAATAAAGAACCTACTGTGTGAAAACCCAATGTGGACTGTTTGTATTTACTACCTATCATTGTCATAGCCATGTTCATGGGACCATCTCTGAACACTTCCAGCAGTTTTCCTGCCCCAAAAGACACACAGAGAGAAGTTGTATTACTGAGGATTCATACCCAGGTGTCTGTCCTCCCACCAAGTTTCCTACACTGGAGCTAAACCTCATGAAGTGGAAGGAAAGATCCTGAATATTCTGCCCTAGCCCTGTACCAAACTCTGACACAGTGTCACCAACACAGTGCCGAATGGGGCAGAACTATTGCAGAACAAGATTCTAGAGTCTTTCTCTGTAAGTAGATGAAACAGGTAAGACCATCATTTAAAAGAACTTAATGTCTGTGCTAGGGCTCTCCCATTTACACTTGGAGAAACTGAGAACCACATAAGAGAGAGGGCAATTGAAATTTGGTGTGTGGCATGTATCTCTTTAAACAGCAGGGCTCAATTCTGGGTAATGAGGGGGCAAGGCTTGCCACCAGTGATGTTAAATTCCAAAGGTCTCTAGAGATGAGTAAAGTGGACTGGACAGGAGCTATAGTACCTGTCACCCACTCCAAACAAGAATTCACCCACCACATAACTAGCTTGATGCCCCTGAACACACCCTGCAGTGGATTTCTTGCTCGGACCTCTGAGGTCAGAAACAGCAGGGATGAAGAGCTGTTGTTCTTGGCCTGACAAAATAGGATGGGGAAATATGGAGAACGGACGCCTGCTGTCGTTTTATGTGTTTCAGCCTGGGACAGATCAAAATGTCACTGTTCCTCACGATGCCTCTGTTGCAGCCTAGCTTCCAAACCTCGGAGTTTCTGGGGACCATATTGGGATCTCTGCTTCACACCCAGTAGCTTGGTCACCATTCAAGCTAATAAAGGAATGAAGACTCATGGGGACAGAGTCTCTGCACACACTAAGGTGAAACAACTTCGCTAGACCAGAAAATCTAAAACCTCTATAGGAATGGATTTTTGGACCACAAGAGACTGTGGGGAATTTGTTGGGGGAATGATGTGAGGGAGGCTGCACTTAATATCTCATCTCTTCTCAGTCTTATATCTACACTACACCCTTCCAGCACCTCCCACCTTCCTCCGTGGAATATCCTGGACTGCCATGAACAGGGTGAGATGGTCATTAATTGAGAAATCTCAGTTTACTTCTTAATCTCTGCATGGATTAATTCCTAGGTCAGTTGTCCTGGATTACCCTCTGAGAGCGATGTGGGACTTTAAACAGTTGTACAGTTAATGTGAAACTCAGACTTGAGCCTTGAATAACAGAAGGACACATGCAGCAATCTGAAGATCCATCTCTCTGCTAACTACCAGGTTCCGTTCTCACAAGACCCCTCATTGGTTTCTCTACCTTCACTCCCACGGTCTGCTTCTGTATAAGTGGGTTAAAGGACCTGTCCTTTCCTTAACTCATCACACACTCTGGTCTCCTGGGGAAACCTGTTTCAGGTTCAGTGTCATTCAACAGAGAGACTGGGGCTTCCTCTGAGACTAGATGCTACAGTATGTCATTACCTTCTGACAACACTTGAGGGTTGCTAACCTCCATCTTTTACTGAGTGCGACAGGACCCACTTGGAACCTGGCTAGAGACAGCCTGCTGTATGCATATTGTAAGCACATGGAGCTAGAGAAAGGCTTATCCTTAGTTAAAATCATTCAGTTGTATATCTGATTTGAGATACATGAGAGCATCACAGAGCCTTCTAATATTACAACAGTGTTTGGCAGTGAAAAGAGGGTAGGTTATTGTAGACACCTTGGAGAGACACATATGGAACATTAAATGGGTTCACACAGTCTGAGTTGTCCCTCAGACCTGACTAACACATGGGGATATATTCAGAGCACACTTTTATCTTAAGAGTCACATCTTGGGATCCACGTGACTCCAGATTATTTAGTCACCAGTTACCACCATCTCCACGGTGTCCCTGGATCCTGACAAGCCAGCAAAGTTGTGAGAGTAACAGTGATATCAGTCTACAGTGCTGTCACACAAGCGATGGTGAATTTCGCCTTATTGGGATTCTTTTGGAACTGTCTGCCCCGGGGTTCTAGTCTTCTCTCTTTGTGTAGCACATATGTTTGGTTACCTCAGGTCCTCTCACACCAGATGGTGACAGGACTCTCTGATGTGATCACAGAGCCTGGCTCAGCCCATATTGTGGGATAATGAAGGGCCCCAGCAAAGAAACAGAAATAAAGGAGGTGCATCTGTTAGGAGAACTGCACAGAGAAGGTCACCATTGCAGGGACACATAAGCTGATCTGCAATAGCAGAAGCACACATACACACCACACTTTTTCATGGAAATTAAATTCCATCCTTAATGTCAACCCTGGTTTCTGGTCCTTGGCTCAAGCTGTTTCACACATTCAGAGATATAGCTATCAGTAGTTCTGGTTCTCAATCACCTGCCACACATCAGGATCTTTCCTGGGTTCCTGTGTCAGTTGCAATTACATTTAAAGGAAAATCATCATTTCCTTACCTGAGACCAGGACCTCTAAGTGGTTACTGGGAACTGACCACAGCTGAGAGCTCCTCAGGTTATAGCCATAGCATGTGAACCTCCACCTCTGGTTGGGGGTCACAGGACCCACTGTGAACACAGCTCCAAATAGCTCAGGGTATATTTTCTGTGAGGGCAAAGGCCTGGAGAACTTCTCATCTTCCTTCATTAGAATAAACCTGTCATATGCCTTTTGTGAGACACACTGAAAGGTCACATTTCCTCCTGAGGTCACCACAGGGCTGGAAAGGGCTGACAGAGTGATTTTAGTGGGGTAAACTCCTAGGAAGAAATAGGAAACATGGTAAGTGGAATCCCATGGTAAAACAATTTACTCTCTTTTGGAATATGAGGACACACTACAGTGAACATATTCCTTTCTTCAAGAATGGTCCTAGTGTTGGAGAAGTGACCTCTCACCTGTCACCACCAGCTCCAGAGGGTCACTGCTCTCTGTCCAGCCTATAGATTTGTAAGAGTAACAGCGATATTTCCCTGCATGATGCTTTTCCATGGATTCTATGGAGAACATGGCCTTCTTACCAGGACCTTTGAGAGTTTGACTGTCCCAGGGTGCTGGGCTTCCTTCTTTATACAGGAAATATATTTGGGTTTCCTTGGACCCCTCACACCAGATGGTCACAACATTGCCAGAGGCAATCACAGAACTTGGTTCAGCCCACAAGGTGGGTTTCTGAAGGTTCCCTGCAGGGAAATAGGTGAGAAGCAGAGGGGACTTTGAACAGTATTACAGTAAACATCAAGCATGCTGTTGATCTTGAAATTTACCCTTGGTTAGCAAAGGACCAAAAATGTCATGGGAATAGTCATTCGTCTCCTGACCTCACCAAGCCCCAGTCTCACTATGCCCCCCGCCCCATTTTCTGTACAGTGACTCCCGAAGTCTCCATGCTGTGTCAGTTATCTCAGGAGCCCTGATCCCACACACATATACAACCCTGGTCTTCACTGGGAACATGAGTCAGGTGCAACCTGATTCCACAGAGAGTCTGAGGCTTCCTCACCTGAGACCAGGAGCTCCAGGACCTCGCTCCCTTCTGACCACACCTGAGGATTATTTGTGTAATAGCCATAGCATCTGAACCTCCACCTCTGGCTGGAGGTCACTGGACCCACTGGAAACTGAGCCAGGAACATCCCAGTGGGTGTGTGTCTTGGGCTCCGAGGGATGGAGAACTTTTGACCATTCTTAGTTAAAATGAACCAGTCATATCTCTGACTTGAGGTACAAGAGAGGGTCACAAACCCTCTTACGTTTACAACAGGATTGTGCATGGTTGACAGGGTGGGTTTGTTGTAGACTCCTAGAAGAAACACACATGGAAAATTAAAGAGGATCACAAAGGCTGAATTGCCCCCACCCCAAGGCTGTCCTTTGATGGGAGGTAGTGTTATGCAGTCTTTTCTTGAGAGTGACATCTGGGGTTAAGATTTCTGGTGTCTTCTCACCTGTCACCACCAGCTCTAAGGGGTCACTGCGCTGTGACCATCCCGCAGAGGTGTAGGTGTAACAGTGATATCGGCCTGCCTGCACTTGTGTTGTAGATGGAATGGTGAGTTTTGCCTCAGTGCTGTTGTCTGTTTGAGTCTGTTGGACCCAGCGCTCTTGGCTTCCCTCTTTATATATCACATACGTTTGGGCCCCCAGGGATTCCTGACACCTGATGGTAACAGGACTCCCTGAGGGGATCACAGACCCAGGATGAGCCCACATGGTGGGTTTTTGAAGGATCCCTGCCAAAAAGTAGAAAAGAAGGAGGTGCATCTGTTAGGGGAATATCACAAAGAAGGTCACATTTGCCCAAGACATCTAAACTGATTTGCAATTATAGAAGGACACTTAAAGACCTATGCCCTGGATTTTGAGTTCCACTGTTTATTAGACACCAATTTCTGCACCTGAACTCAAGCTGTACCACAGATCTGTGAATCTGAATTCAGTAGCTGTTCCTGGAGATCACCCACAACACATCATGGCCTTTCCTGTGATCCTGTATCAGTTACAATATCATGGAAAAGAAAGTTCTGCACTTCCTTACCTAAGACCAGGAGCTCTAGGTGGTTACTGGGCAATGACCACGCCTGAGGGGTGCTCAAATCATAGCCATAGCATGTGAATCTCCATGTCTTGTTTGGGGTCACAGGACCCACAGTGAACAGGGCTCCAAATATCTCAGGGTGTATATTCTGTGAGGGCAAAGGCTTAGAGAACTTCTCATCTTCCTTCATTAGAATAAACATGTTATAGGCCTGTTGTGAGACACACTGAAGGGTCACATGCCCTCCTGAGGTCACCACAGCACTGGAAATGGCAGACAAGGTGACTTTGCTTGAGTACCATCCTAGGAGAGAAGAGAAAGCCTGTCATGTGGGCTTACATGAAAAACATTTTTCTCCTTTCTCATATTTGAGAAAGGAACTCTCAGTGAATATATTCCTTTCCTTAAGGCAGAATCTGGGGTTAATAAATGTCCTCTCACCTGTCACCACCAGCTCCAGGAAGTCACTTCTTTCTGACATACCATTATTGCTTTTATATTCACACCAATATCGGCCTGCATGGTACCAGTCAACCGATGAGATGGAGAATGTGGCTTTATTTTCAGTTTCTAGGGTTGTTGGTATTGGGGAATCCGGACTTCCTTCTTTGTAGAGAACATATTCCTTGGCCTCTAAAGGTCCTTCACAGTAGAATGTCACCTGGTTCCCAATGCCTACCATATTTCTTGGCACTGCCCGGAGTGTAGGTTTAGAGAGAGCCCCTGAAAGAAAATTGACAGACGCTTTCACAGAACTCTCCCTCAGATATCAGCTTCTCAGACTTAGGAAATTTCAGGTCTCCCCATCATTACCCCCACACCAACTGCCCTTCATTTTCCCTGTTCAGGAATTACCTGTGGACCCCACCAAGGATGTCCAAACTGGGACAACTGAGAAGACACTCACCTGCCAATACTGTGATCCTGAGGTCCAGACTCAGTCCTGCAAAAGAGTTAGTTACCTGTGAGAGTTTGCACTAAAACATGAGCATGACCTCCCCTTCCAAATGCCTTATAGAGCTGCTAAGACATCCTGATGGACCAATTCGTGGTTCCCTATCAGATGAGAATTCTCCCTCCCCATTTGACATCTCACCAAGATAGAGTAGACCTGTAAAAAGGGGGGTCATGGCATCTTCCAGTTGCCACAAGTTTACAGAAGATCAGCCTCTTTTCCAAACACACACAGACACAAAACTTGTGGCCTGTGAAGACTGGGGTCTGCTTGTGATCATGAGGAAGCCCCTGAGGAAGAGGAACTGCTCTAACCAGGCGCCTGACTCTTCTTTCCTCTGCTGTAATGGGTTGGCTTCCAGAATTTGTGACTTCTGTCTCTCCCTGGTTCCTTAATTTTTGTTTCTGTTTCTGAGACAAAACCTTCTAAATCTCCTGCAAGTCTCAGACTCCTCCTCCTTCTCCTTCAGCTTGCTGAGTGCAGGGATTACAAGTCTGATTGTGGTGTCTTCCTGCAGAACATCTTCAATGTAATGCTCTACATCTGCCTGTATGCTCCCACTCACCACAGACCAGGACTTAATGCAAAATAAACCTGGTGACTTCCTGATTCAGGACCTTAACTTGATGGGCTCCGAGGCAGTTGGTCATTTTCTCTCCCGGCTTCTGCTTGGTTCTCCTTTACTCCTTCAGCTAGACAAAGCTCATCACCAGTTTTCTAGCTTTCTCAGAGATGCTTTGTGGATGCTCTGTGAACTTTACCTAGGGATACAAGCAAAAATCCTACACACCCAACATCAGACAACAGTCTCCATGGCAAGACAAGACTCCACACAAATCTACCTGATGAAGCAATGAGTTATATTGGGTTTCCCTGAAAGCCTGTCATCAATCTTGGTTTTTGGGGATATTTTGTTTTTGTTTGTTTGTTTGCTGAAACAGGGTCTAACTATGTAGCTCTGGCTGTCCTGGAACTCACTATGTAGTCTAGACTAGATCCAGCAACAGCCTCACATTCGACCATTGAGAACCCTGAGCTCCACTATGCTCATCAATATTGGAAACTTTTCAGTGTTTAGATTCATGAAAAAAAGCTTTGCCTACAACTTTTAACTGCCAATATTTCTGATGGAAGAGGAGTGGCCTTAGGAGCCTCTATACCATGAAGGAATATTCATGGGGCCAATCTTGTGCAGGTGACCTGT